GATCATGTTTTAAAAGGATCACGCTGAGGCAACGTGTTCATTAGTCACAGAACTTGGGAGCAAATCAAAACCACCATGAGAGGTCACCTTCACAACCACTAGGACAGCTGCAATCAAAAGACAGACAATAACAAGTGTTGGCAAGGATGTGGGAACCTGGAGCCCTCCCACACTGCTGGTGGGAGGGTCAAATGGTGTCATCGCTCTGGCATAGCAGACGGTCCTCAAGAGATGAAACCGCTCCCATGCGACCCAGCGATTCCGCCCCTGGGTACATACCCACACATCCCGACCACAACCTGTACAGAGTGTCCGGCAGCCTTATGCACAATAACCACCAAGTGGAAAGAATCCACATGTCCAACAACTGACGAATGGACACATAAAATGAGCTATGATCTACATCAGGGGTCCTCCAACTTTTTAAACAGGGGGCCGGTTCACTGTCCCTCAGACCGCTGGAGGGCCGGACTATAGTTTAAAAGAAAACTATGAACAAATTCCTATGCACACTGCACATACCTTATTTTGAAGTAAAAAAACAAAACGGGAACAAATACAATATTTGTATTTGCATGTGGCCCGCGGGCCGTAGTTGGAGGACCCTGCTCTCCATAATGGAACATTGCTTTGCAATAATAAAAAGGAATGATGTACTAATACACGCTACCACACGGGTAAACCCTGATAACATCATGTACAGTGAAAGAAGTCACTCAAAGAGGCCACACATTACACGGTTCCACTTACATGAAATCTCCAGAATAGAAAGTCCTAGATTAGTGGTTGCCAGGGGCTGGGGTGGGGTGGGGGGGGAGTGAAGAGAAAAACAGGGACTGAATGCATGTCTTGGGGGGACAAAAATGTCCACGTTTAGACTGTGGTAATAGTTGCACACCTCTGTGAATATCTATGAAAAAACCCTGAACTGTATACCACTGAAATGGGTGAATTGTATGGTGTGTCAATAAAACGATTTCTTACTCGCCCTAGCTGGTTTGGCTCAGTGGATAGAGTGTCAGCCTGCAGACTGAAGGGTCCCAGGTTCGATTCCAGTCAAGGGCACATGCCTGGGTTGCAGGCTGATCCCCCATGGGGGGCGTGCAGGAGTCAGCTGATCGATGACTCTCAATGTTTCTCTCTCTCTCTCCCTCTCCCTTCCTCTCTGAAATCAATAAAAATATATTAAAGTAAATAAATAAATAATAAAATGATTTCTCTCTTGCTAAAATTATAAAAAGCGTCGCTCTGGTTGCTGTGCTGAAACCAGACCAGGAGGAGGAAAAGGGCAGACAGTGGTCTCAGCGGGATGGCAATGGCCTGGATCAGGGGGAGCCTGGTCAGACCCCAGGGAATCTGAAAGTACAGCCCACGGGACTTTCTGATGGTTTGGAAGGCCTTTCGTACCTTCCAGTGTTCTGGAAACAAGAGGCGGGCTTTAATGTTTTTAAGGACTGAGTTCCTAGTAACTCAATGACATCAAATGGTTTGGAGATGGGACATGAGAAAAAAAAAAGGAGGACTCCAGAGTCTGGCCTTAGCAGTTGGACACATAAAACCATCATCTTCTGAGATGAAGAAAATGTGGTGAAGATCAGAACCGTTTCTGCCAAAAGAAGCTGAAACTCCCAGGGATCGGTAACCTCTCCCGCGACGCGCCCTTGCCTCACCTCGGGCGCGGCCTGCCTCTTGTTGCTGTCCGAGTCTTCCAGGATCTGGAGGTAACTGTGCATGTACTCGGCGGCTCGCTGCCACTGATGCTTCAGCAGGGCTTCTTGGATGAAACTTAAACAGGCACTGGTTGTCTGAGCAAAATCCTTCTCCTTTTTCCCTCGGGTCGCTATAAACATTAAAGAGAAGAGACTTTTATGTATTTTTTTTTAATATGTCTTTATTGATTTGAGAGAGGAAGGGAGAGGGAGAAAGATAGAAACATCCATGATGAGAGAGAATCATCGATCGGCTGCCTCCTGCATGCCCCCTACTGGGGATCAAGCCCGCAACCCGGGCATGTGCCCTGACCGGGAATCAAACCGTGACCTCCTGGTTCATTGGTTGTTGCTCAACCACTGAGCCGCACCGGCTGGGCAAAGAGAGGAGTCTTTTACCCAGTGACCCCAATTCAACAGCTCAAAAACTTACTTCTGATAAGCATAAGTGTTAACAAGTAGAACAGTGGGTATTACCTTAATCCAGCCCATCCCAAATATCAAAGCTAGCTTCACTTGAAACAAACTCTTCCACACTATTTTAACTAGTTTTAGCAAATGAAAAAAAGAAAAAGTCTAATGTGGAGATGAGTAATTTGATGTTCTACCAGAGTCAACAAACCCTTCAAATCTGACTCCATCACCCTTTCACTCTTGTACTAAATAATCTGAATAGAATTGTCCAAGAGGGCCCCAAACGCATAATCTCAAGTCGTTAGAATGCATAGAAATCATTAGGGCCATCCTAGGCAAGCAGGGCCTTTCGTACCTTCCAGTGTTCTGGAAACAAGAGGCAGGCTTTAATGTTTTTAAGGACTGAGTTCCTAGTAACTCAATGACATTAAATGCAAATTAGACTAAAACAGTTTTGTAGACAGTAGCATTTAGATCTCTAAAGAATTGACAATACTGCCCTGACCGGTTTGGCTAGGTGGATAGAGCGTCAGCCTGCAGACTGAGGGGTCCCAGGTTCGATTCCAGTCAAGGGCATGTACCTTGCTTGCGGGCACATCCCCAGTAGGGAGTGTGCAGGAGGCAGCTGATCAATGTTTCTCTCTCATCGATGTTTCTAACTCTCTATCCCTCTCCCTTCCTCTCTTTAAAAAAATCAATAAAATATATTTAAAACAAAAAAAAAGAATTGACAATACGGAAAAAAGGGGACATGTATAATATTTCAACAATAAAGATTTAAAAATAAAAAAATAAAAGAATTGACAATACTTATATTAAGAATATCTGGAATTATTTGGAATTATAGGAGCAACTGGTTGCATACTGCCACTCCTCTTCCCTTTCCATACCTCTAGGGGGCCCCTAGGGACCAGCAGTCTTTCAGCTCAGGCACCCTTACTCTGGGAGTACACAGACTAACAGGTACATGCAAACATAGTTTTAGAGAAATCAACTTCCTCCCATACTCTCTCCTAAAATTGATCTCCTAGAGAACTGTGCCTACAGTCAAGGCCTCGTGAACAAAAGCAATATGAGTTGCCTTAAGGTAAAAATGGAGAAGAAAGTGAATGACTAAGATATCCAGCACTTAAAGTCATTTGAGATTCAGTTTCCTCACCTTTAAAATGCCTAGCATCACCCTGGCCGGCTTGGCTCAGTGGATAGAGCGTCAGCCGGCGGACCGATGGGTCCCAGGTTCAATCCCGGCCAAGGGCATATGCCGGGGTTGCGGGCTCGATCCCCAATAGGGGGTGTGCAGGAGGCAGCCGATCAATGATTCTCTCTCATCATTGATATTTCTCTTTCTCTCTCCTTCTCCCTTCCTCTCTGAAATCAATAAAGAAATATATTTTAAAAAAAGAAATTAAATAAAATAAAATGCCTAGCATGTAGATTTACAGCGGATTAATTTAGCCAATGTCAGGGATATAATAAGTGCTCAGAAAAAAAGAAAAAGAAAAAGAAAAAGACATGTGTATCTTCCATAATACAGACTATTATTAATTCAAAGGAAAAGAATTCTAAAACAAAAAATTATCTGTTTTTTTATTTCTTTTTGGCCGTAGCATAAGAAATTGTCATCTATTTATTCCTATCCTGAAAAGCGAACCAAGCTTGGTTATTCATGTTGCATTCATATGGGATCTTACCCTCTCTTGCATGGAGGGTGAAATGGCTGGGAGGTATTTTACTTACCCACACTTTCTACTTGCTTTTGGAGCCAAGGAAGACGCATTCCTGAGCGAGGGCGGACACTGGTTTCCGCTGGGTCATCCTCTGGCGCGGGCCTCAGCAAGTCTTCGCTGAAATCACTCATACCTACTTCAGACCGAGAAGATCAGTTACTTTCTGCACGTCTTAATCCACAGCCTTCTGGGTTATACAGAAAAACAGACATTTCTTAATCTAGCAAATAACACTTGATCAGCAACATTAATTGTATCCTGTAATTCCTTTTAAAAATATAAATTTGGGCCCTAGCCGGCTTGGCTCAGTGGATAGAGCGTCAGCCTGCGGACTGAAGAGTCCCAGGTTCGATTCCGCTCATGGGCAGGTACCTCGGTTGCAGGCACATCCCCAGTAGAGGGTGTGCAGGAGGCAGCTGATCGATGTTTCTCACTCATCAATGTTTCTAAGTATCCCTCTCCCTTCCTCTCTGTAAAAAAAAAAAAAAGGATCAATAAAGTATTTTTTTTAAAAAGATGCTCAGGGCCCTCTCCCTCGCTCCCCACTCCGATGGCTCGTTAGGTCGTGCTGACGGCTGCCTGCTGGCACCTGAATCTGCCCCTTCTCCGCAATCCTGCGCCGGCACCCTAACCAGCACCTTCACACTGGGTCCGCTCTCCCTTCCTCTCTGTAAAAAAAAAAAAAGATCAATAAAGTATTTTTTAAAAAAAGATGCTCAGGGCCCTCTCCCTTGCTCCCCACTCCGATGGCTCGTTAGATCGTGCTGATGGCTGCCTGCTGGCACCTGAATCTGCGCTGGCACCCTAACCAGCACCTTCACACTGGGTCCACCAACACCTTCACACTGGGTCCAGCTTCCTGCACTCGCTTTCCAACTCGTGGCCCTGCCTCAGATTCACCCGCTCCACGCCACTGCCTGCGTAGATCTTTCAAAACCAAGCTCTGGAGTCGGGAGCATGGGCTTTAAATGGCACCAGAATCTGAGCCCCACGCGCATGCATTTTACGAGTCCTTGTGGAAGCAGCTCTGCCTTTCCAAACTCCCCAAGGCTGCAGGGGCGTCATGCATTTGCCGAGTTCGCCAAAGTCCCTCCACCCTCCCGTCGGCGGTGATGGGATGGACGGAGGGTACCGCGCGCGGCACTCACCGCCGGCAGCAGGACCTCTCCCGCACCGCCCAACGCAGTCCTGGCTCCGACGCCGCCAGAGCAAACACCGGAAATGGAGCCCGAGCTC